CACTTTGGACTTAGACTAGGTCTGACAATACCATGGCGTAAGGAGTTTTACGCACCGTGAAGGTAGACACTAGAACTGATTTTTGGACCACAGTTAATCATACGACTAGAGAAAGGTCCTCGTTACGACATTTTACCTGGGACATTTTGTTTTATCACAAAACCTGCAGCGTCTACGAGTCTAAACTACCAAAAATGAGGACTTTTGCATCAAACATTTGATCGTCAGAACAACTTGACCCGGCAAGGGGGGATAGGAGGGGACTATCAACGCAATTTTTTGTCAAATAAGTGTTAACCTTGTGGGATAATCACTGTAGCAGCATGACTGCCTTGCTTTTTTCTAGGGAACCATATGCCCGATTCGTCGCGACCTATAAATAGGGGAAGGATACGCTGTCGTCGTAGGAAATCCGTCTTTTAGCAAGAACGTCTGCAACAAAAATGTTAATATCTGTCGTCTAACTCCTACTTCGTACGTAAATTCGAGCATCTTTAAAAATCACATAATCAAAGGTATCAGAGAGCTTTAAATGCAGATTATTCTGCTTTTGTGGATATGATGAATTTTTCATTGCTTTGTTTCAAAATACTCCACAAAAGGTTCGTTTTTCAGAGTTCGTTATAGGGCTAATTGGTACGCATCTGACCGCTCAATATCTAACAAAATATGACTTTATTATTCCACTTGTTCATTAACGAGGCGCCTAAATGTCCCTCAATTCCTTATTGCGTATCCATGTCCTTCGCTTTTGCAGACTGCTTAGATATATTCCTTCTTTTAACTGCAGACTGCATGCGCAAAATTTAAGTTTACTTCAAAAACAGTGTACCAGTGGACGACAATTTCGCAGGAACCAAACCATCCTGCATTTCCTGAAGAGGGGGCAGCTGTTTTTATTATTTAGAATGCCTTAATACTGGAAGTCCTTTTTTACTGTTAAAAATAATTTCTCACAATTATTTAATTCTACGCTATTTGTCCCCTAATTCAAAATGAATTTAAGCCAGTGCAGAGGTCTTTTTGGCAGAGGTATTTTTACTACAAACGTATGTTGTCTCGATTTGAACGGTTTTTACACGGTCTGTTGGCAGTACTTACACATGCTCCATTTGGCGAGACAAACAATTGCGCCTTTAGCTACTGCCTACTTTAAAAACTCGGATGAATACTGACACAATCTGAATGCATCTCATTTTAATGGTAATGGTTAATGAGGAGTAAATCAACATAGTATAAAGAGCAAAGCTTCATTAGGTATTTCGATATCAGCGAAAATGCGATCATACCAGCAAAATAAGAGAGAAAACCCGCTAATTGTCGTTTGCTATGATTTAGATAACCACTCACAAGGCAGTAACAAATTAAGGCACTCCAAAAAGATGTACTTTCGAAATTTTCCGGTCTGCGATCGAAGAACGCTTGCTCCACAGTGCACTCTCACTGCCATAAAATGATGTTGCACCACGTCGCATAGATTAACCTAAACATTTAGTGTTTTCATATTAGACTTTAATCTATCAGATCTTGTAAAATCAGTAGGTTGCCAATTGTCTTTAAGGTATAATAGATAGACATGCTTACACCGACTGTTTCTTGACCAAAAGACTTGCCTATAGTCTGCGCAAAGTTTATTGTTCCCTTAAGAAAGTTGGGCTAAATCAGACTTAAGCGAGTCTTAAAAATTCCGCGAACTCAGTAGGCTTAAACAGTATGAAGGGAAACGTTGAAAAACTCTTTTTATTCAACCACTGTCACTCATATGGGCAAAGAAAATCTAACATCAATCTACCTGGCCTCTCGTCTCTCACAGGGGACAGTATACGAATCACCAAAGCAAGGGCTGTCGCTCCAAAAATTGTTTTGCAGAGGAAAGTAGTCGCATAGGGGAGCGAGGAGAAACTATCACTACAGGTGTCAATCCTGAAAACAACCACTGGGACCAGCAGACTGTCATGTCTTAACCGTGGTCTATAAAAAGCGGAAATGGACGAGGTTGGTGTAAGAATTCCCTCTTTTACCAAGGGATTCTTGCAACGGAGATGTTCATATCAGTCGTCCAGGTGCTTTGTAAGTCAGTTATGTCTTATTTGCGAACTGTATGGTTTAAATTCCAGCCAACGTTAGGTTCAGACTGTTTTGCCTTTTGAGGCTGAGTCCTGTGAAGTGAACCTTTGCACAGTTCTTCAAAATGAGTTAAGATCCTTTTTCCTATTGCAGATTTCATCGGATATACATCTGGTATGCACCTAGTTGTTTAAAATCAGACAAAGTTTTGAATTATGTTGATTATTTTTTTTAAAACATAAGAACACATTTCATTTATTTTCAAATTCGATAAGGGTAGAGTAAGTACCGCTTTGGATGACTGTTCAAAAATCTGCCTTCCTTTCTTATTTAGCGGATAAGGTTCATAAGGGTTTGTCTGGCAGTCGTTGCGTGGATTCTCAACTTCACCGTCGTCAGTAACGTTAAGGGTGCCCATATAAGCTCAAAGGCAGAGTAAGACCAACGTTTGGGGTTAGGATTAGTGTCAGGAGTCAGGCTATTCTTAGAGAAAGTGTTGTCAGGCTTGGGATATGGCCTCCATTTGATGTTGGGGCTAGGATTCCGGTTCGAGTTTAGTTCTTGCCTTTTAGAATTAAAATTGGGATCAGGGTCAAGCTTGGAGTTTATGAATTAGGGTTAGGGGAGTCAGGGTTAGTTCTGGGGTATAATGCTTGAGTCAGGTTTCCGACTGCATCCGTGTTTGACATATATTTTAACGGGTAAAGAGTTACGGTTACCCATTACAGGTATGACCGCGGTTTCCGCTGAAGTTTCAGTTAACTATAGTCCTCCTAGTGAGGTTACACACCATACCTTTACCGTGAATTCTCAGTACCCCATATCCAGGCAAATGACTAGGGTATAGCATATTTACACAACTTCCGGCCTCGTGGAAAATATAAAAAGATAAATTACTGAAGTGTGACATTTCACCGGAATTCGTTAAATCAGAGCTGTTTTCAGAAGGCCTATGAGCGGTTTTGACCCTACAACATCTTGAATAACTAGTTTTGAAAACAGCGTAAGGCTGAATTTGGTGCAACCCTTCGATTTTGTAACACCTATCTTCTGAATGTAAAATGTATCTTAGCCAACGAGGATGCGCTCTGCAGAGGCTTTGCTGCGACTTTTGAGAAAACTAAAGAGCCGCAGACGCTCCAGTTATACGCGGACTTCGTTCCTTCCGTAAGTTTGCTTTTTGACAAAGTAGGTGTTAGGGGAGACACTTATTATGTTTCAGTCACATAAGTAGATTCCCCAAAAATCAGGAAAATTTCCTACAAATAGCGTTAATTCCGATCTCAATGAGAACTGTTGTAACAATTTTCGCATCAATGAAGTGCCTGAAGGGTGAATAAAATAAATGCCGTGTGTTGATATATCATTTGCGTACGTCAAATTGGGGGAGCCTGTTAGTGGATTACAAAGTAAGAATCAGTTGTTACGGCAAAGTGTCTTGATGGTGCCAAGACATTCGCAGACTCGAAAACAATTAATAAGCTTATGCAAGGCTGCAGCATCTTACGCTCTTTTATACCAAACATTTATGGGTGAAGGTAGAAATTAAAAGTAAAGGGTTTTTTAATCTTATGAGCCCATAGTAACTGCACTACTATGGCTTTTTGATTCGAGAATGTACGGTTTTAATTTTTTACATAAATGTCCAGTGATTTAAAGTTAAACCAGTTTGAAATTGATGCTTCCTAACCTGAATTCTCATTTTGAAGAGAGTTACAGTGGGAACTACGGATATCCATTTAAAAGCAAACATCTGTGCCTCGGGAAATCAAAATTATCCATGCCGGCTAATTAAGGGTAAGGGATGATTCTTTACATAATTATATTTCCCACAAGTGTACCGTAGAGGTGCCAACTCATAAATGTAAATTGAAAATCTGAAATGCGTTTTCGACTCGAAAATATTACTTAAGGGTGGTTGTAATATTAATCACCATGCAGTATAATCCCATAATAATTCAGTTATATCAGGATGCCCGTTTTTATACGAACTTCTTTCCGGCCGCCTGCTTTAACCACTGTGCGTAAAAGATGACTACTCAAATGATGTGAATATTTCCCGTTTATTTTCGATGACCTTATAAATGCACATATATTTCACAGAAAACATGCGCAAAATATTCATTCTTTTACTTATTTGGTAGATAAGCACGTCTTCGATAGATTTTGTTTTTTATTGAGGGGTATGATTCGGTTTTAGAAAAGTATCTAATAATGGAAGTTTTCAAGACCGTGAAATAACCATCCATAAAAAGTCTATAAAACTGTTCAGGAAGTAAAAACGAATCATAACTCACCTTCATACATAAAATTTGAAGATGTAATTTTCCACCAAATGAGTAAAAGAATGAATATTTGTATGTGTTTTCGGCATTAATTATAGTTGAACTTATATGGGCATCAAATATTAATAAAAAAAATTCGCGTTAAGTAAGCAGACGTTTTTTACAGTGTGCAACTTTTGCAGACGGCCAAAAAACGTTTGTTTAATAGCCGGCATCCCAAAGTAGCCGAATTATTTTGGAATTATGCTGTATAGTGATTGCTATTATAACCCTGCTTAAGTAATCTTTTTGAGTTGAAAACACATTTTGTATTTTCGCTTAACATTCCACGAACAAGCTCACCTACTTCACAAATAACTAAAAGCGTTTGCATTAAAAACCATGAAATTAAGCAGACGTTTTTGGTTTAGAGCATGCTCTAACGGTTAATACTTTTGTTTCCACAAATAGTGCACGAGTCTGGTTTTTGGCGTTTTGAAATTGACGACATTGTGACCGCTAATCTCAGCAGCATTGTCGCATCTTCTGATTTGGAGTACCTGCCGCCCATCGCCATCCAGGCTCAGCCAATTGTTGATGAAATCAAAGGTGAACATCCCCCTTCACGCCATAATTTATTGCCTGCAAAATTGACAGCTGATTGGTGGCTTATTGGTGGTTACTGTTGAAGTTCAGCATTTGCATCGTATTTGTCGCTTTCCTGAACACTTTGGTTTTTAGTTCACCACAATCTTTGCGGCATACGAGGACATCCAGGAAGGCCAACTGGTTGTTCTCTTCCTCCTCCATCGTAAATTGTATGTCCGGGAAGACCGCATTCAGACGTTCCTTGAATGTCAGCGGTTGATCCCGGTCGATACCAACGAAGGTATCATCCACATACCGGGCCCAGAACTTCGGTTTGTGGTGTTGTAAGACCAGCGACTCTAACCGTTGCAGGACCGCCTCGGCGATGAATCCCGAAATCGGCGAACCCAGTGGTGTGCCCTTCACCTGTCCGTAGATTGTCCCGTCAAACGTGAAGTACGTCCTGAGACAGAGCTTCAGGAGCTGAAGGACTTGGGCGCGTCCAAGATGATTCTCCGTTTCATCGTATTTGCTTTTTAGTAGCAGCTGGATTGTCTCGATCGTCAGGTCCTGGGGAATAGAAGTAAAAAGGGATGTAACATCAAAAGATACCATGACCTCATTTGGATGGATGCTTACCCCTTTGAGTGTCTCCAGGAATTGTACTGACGAAAAGACCGTGTTGTCTGATTCATCGGTCAGGAACTTGAGACGCCGGAACAGCCACTTAGCCAGTCCGTACGTTGGAGTCCCTTTGAGCGACACGATGGGTTGGAGAGGAGCGCCGTCTTTGTGCACCTTAGGGAGGCCATAGAATCGGGCCAAATCCGTATCTTGGGGTATCGCCAGGCGTTTGTCGGTCGATGTTATTGCACCTGAGTTCTCCAAAGCCAACAACGTGGCATTAATTTCGTGTGCCAGCGGTCTTACAGGGTTCGTTGCACATGGGACATAGAACTGTCGGTCCTCCAGTAAACCTTTGACTTTTTGAAGGTAGTCTGTCCTGTCCAGTACAACTGTGGCGCGTCCTTTGTCCGCTGGCACGATTACCAGGTCTTTGTCGGCCTTGAGTTCTCCAAGCGCATCACGTTCGACCTTGGAAAGCACTTCCCGCGGCCTGTGGGCCATTAGGAGAGACGACACTTGGTGTCGGATTCGAGCAGGAATCCGGAACGTCAGGCTAATAAAGCTCTTGGCCCGGGGATCATGCCTTATTCTTCAAGCCAATTCAGCGTATTCATGGATTCGTGTTGGTCAGAGAAGTGGTGTAGAAATAAAACTTCATGCCAGATCAAAAACAGCGCTAGAATCCTGGTTCATAAGACGTGCGGACGTCTTACCAGTACTTATCCCTGTCTGCTAACCACACACTTTTCCGACAATTTTACTGATAACTGCATATCCAGTCTGTAGTTTGGGTAAAACCAAATATTTCTTGTTTTATTCCTCGTCCGCCCCTCACCTCTGCCTTCTAGACAACATTTTCCTTCGATCATCCTCTCCATTTGTTATATGTCCAAAGCCCGGACAGAAAGCCGTCGTAGTTGACTTTTTCTTCCCAACCACTATTTTGGATCAGCATGCGAAGGTAAGACCTAATGCTATAATCATCACCTACTGTAGTTGCATGTAGTAAATCATGAGCTTAGATTTGACAGGTTACTTGAGTCCATGCTGGGTACTCCAAAAATATCAGCCTATGAACTATCAGTGGTATCTTCTTTGAAGTTGAATGCTTTGCTTTGAAATTAAAAGCTCCCATCTTAACAATGGGACCGTTTGAGCAAAGTTAATATCGCTTGCAGGATTTCTGTCACTAAAATCATTTGGAACTGAAGGAGCACTCAAGCTGAATGGCGCAGTCGACCACCATAGCTAAATTGATGGTAAACTGACAAGTCAGGGGTATTGTGGGCAAGGGTAGGAATTTACTGAGTGCTAAAATGCGGGCTGCACTGCCGCTCAAGATTCGTCCTTCGTAAGAAAACAACCACTGGTTTCTTGTACTCTGAGGCGTCTCAAGTAAAAAACATGATGCAACTGCCCAACATTCGGATAGATACGGAAACTGTTTATCTACATCTATTTTCGTTATGATGTCGTGTTTTTTCTTCATACAATTCTCGGGAAAGTTTACTTGAACGAGGGGGTCGTTTTTGGTAACCCGAGTGCTCATATGATTTAATGCTTTATACGTTTTACTTGCGAGGATACCTCAAGGGCACAGACCCAAAACCAGCGGTTTCGACAAAAAATTAAAACGAACCGTTGGACAATTTAGACAAATAGGTTATTCTACACTGGCGGTTCCTCATATATGATGGTGGCATACAGTGAGTGAAGAACTCACGACTGACAGTTCAATCTAGTCCATGTATTTACGCATATCGAAGCAATCAAGAAAGAGATGATGATCTACAATTGACACATAAGCAGCAGCCAAAAAAACCATGATATTCAACAAGCTCTAGAAAATCAAAAGATGTACTACGATAAATTCATCGGTAACCAATGGAATCTGTCCGATAGGCAGCCGGTCAGTTTTTGAACGAAATTATTTTGTTACATTATGAATCAGATTTAGATCCAGAGCCATCACAAAGGAATGTTGCATGCCCGATACAAAGATAATGCGCAATTCAATGTGGAGGAATAAAATTTGCGTTTGTCACTGGGGTCGTTTAAGCTGACGAAAGCGCATACAGTTTGATCGCACAATCAATCGCTACAAGCTTCATTTTGGTCAAAAGATAATCCGAAAGTTAAAATAGACAAATGCTAAAAGTCGCCGAGGGATAAGGCGTAGTATGCACTGCGGTACGGCCATTAAAGTTGATCACGTAAATTATTTGTTTGCAAAATGAGGGATAGTTTTCCACGTTCATCGGGATATCGTGTATGTTTATCCTGATATTTTTCGGACGGAATAATTAGACAGAAATGCTTTACTGAGTGGACCAAGGCCTCACCCGATCTAGTGTTTTATCCACTTATTCAGCCAATTCATAACTCACACTTAAGACAGGAAATTAAAGCAACTTTTTAAACTAATAAAACGAAGTGGGTTAATTGGTGTGTTTTTACCGTTTCGTATATGCAGTCTGTACGAACAAATTTCTCAATACGTCCTGTAAGCTGAATGAACGCTTAGATAGAACCAAACGTTTAACTTAGTAACGAAGCACAGTTGGGTATGGGGTCCCAAAGTAACTCACTAAATACACGCATTAATGTTCCTTTGAAAATGTTCCCAATATTGTCCTGTTAGCCTTAACCCCTTCACTTCAGTGATGAGAATTTAACCATCAGCCGCAACGTCAAGAAAGTTATTTAAATTGTTTACAGACGAACGCAGGTTAGTAAAATGTCTCAGGTTCAGATCAGAAGTTGTCGAATGTCATAAAGTCAACTGAATGGCCATATATGCGACGTTTGTCTGCTTGCGTATATGCTTAAACGTGTACTAGTGCGTCTACTCAGATAGCTTTTCGAGCTACTTATTTCAGACACATTTGCTTGCAAAGCCCTAGATATGCATTTATGTTATCAGGAGAGATATTAATGCATACTTCTTCAGTATTGCAACAATTGATAATATATGATTTCCCGAAACTCGTTTTTACTGTGAATTCGTTAAAAAGTAACAGGCATTGGAGCCAGTGATATGCATATGCACGGGTAATTTAATATGACTTGTCTGGGGAAAGATTTCAGTTATTGGCACGTTTCCATAAAAAACGATGAGCGTTTCCGGAGTCGTGTACTCGAAGGAATTGCGCGCCAGTTGGCATGTTTATTTGAATGCTATGTGCAAAAACTGAAGAAAAAAATGCAATTAACAGCGATCGGAGCAACTGAAATGGTAAAATAAGTTAGATCATTTTTAGATCCATTTTAAATGCTGCCTGCCTTTTACACATGTTGTACATCTGATAAGTATCTGGAATTACAGGTGGGGATTTGCAGGCAAAGTTTGTCTTTTACTCAAAAAATCGACTACAATCATACCAGTGAGTACGAGTGTATTTTATTTTCCCCTTCCAACACCAATTAGGTATCATTTTACATGGATTGGCACATCGAATGCGAAATCGGTCAAAATATCACAAGAAAATGTGGTGAGAAGGCCGAGTGCATTGTGTACGCTACGCATGCTAGTTTTGCCTACATCCGCTTAACCTGTGTTCCATTTACTTTTGTAGAAAACGTACAAAATGACAGCAGTTATAAAGTTCTAAGGATCCCCTTTAATGTGACGAGGTTTCAAGTCCCAAGCAAGCGCTACAGAACTGTGAGCGCAATCGTTGTTCAAAAAGAAACAAAGAAGATCCTAACAAAAATTGTCGACTTTGGTTCAAGTAAGTTGTCTAGTCTTTTCAATGCTCTGTGGTTAGATACCAGGCAAATTCATACACCTGTCCATGCTGGCCAGCTTCAGATTTCGGAAAAAACAGGAATGTCTCTTGAAAAATAACATTGTCGGTTGTCAGGCAGAGTAGCAATGATTGCGGCATTGGCAATGCCTATGAACAAGCAGACCTTAAAATCAAAATGAATTTCAAAAATACAAGCGATAGGCAGAATTTGTAATGCTTCAGGCGAATGGCTACTCATCTGTGCTGCTCTTATATAAGGGGCGCTTTCGGATAAATGGGTATTAAATATCGTCGACCTGGAGGTTAATTAAAATAAGAGCTCTATGATCGTATTTGCTGGTTATTTTTAATGTCTTTTGAACGGCCTGCTCTCAGTTGGACTAGAAAACAAAAAGTTATTACAAAAATACTAGTAACTGTGATATAAACTTGCAGCCTTATGCCAGTTTATTGTGTGAGAATTCGGATTTGCCAGTAGTAACAAGGAATTACATTCAAATTAACAAATACTTGCAGTTTTCCAGTGCTAAGCGGTGAAAGTATAACGATTTTTACAAATGTATCAAAGCTGATAAGTTTTAATTTCTAAGCCAGTCAAATGGTTTTACAGACGCTTGGAATTGTTTGAAGTTGACAGAAGATAAAAGAAAACATAGCCACAGCTCGCAGGTCTTATGTTCTAATCAAAATGAATTTAGTTGGGGCACACTTCATTTTCGCGGGAAATTTGCAAGAGCACACGAAACGGAGACTGCATGGCCCCTGATTGCATTAATTGCAGTCCAGGACATTAGATAGATCAGATGCGTTGCAGACGAAACACATTTTTTCAATCCTGCACACTGCTGCTTGTCACTGTGGTTGACTCGATTTGTAAAGGCGCAGTGTTTTGCTTTTTTCTTGCGCGATTTTTTGGCAGCTGTCCAGAGAGTACCAGAATTATTTCTCAACCGATTATTTCGTCACAAACGTTTGCAGTTTAAAGTCTGCAGATAGTAGATTAAATGGCATGCCTGCCTAATACAATATTCTTATTCCTATTGACCTGACTGGGAAAAACGTGGCGCCTCGGTGAGACTCGAACGCATCTGGGTACAAATCCCACCAAGCCGCCACGTTTTTCACATTTGGGTCAATAGGAATTATTTAAAATCTGCCGAAACATATATTTATGGAATTATTATTGATGACTTGAAAAATAATGTCACTACAAGATATCACGTCTCCCACATGCTTCAAGCCCTTCTGTTTATTTAGATATGCTAGATTTCGAGCAAATGAAACACGGTTTCAAGCTGAAGTTCTGATGTAACCTTTGGATTGCTCTCGATATAAAACATTCTGTCCAGATCAAAGATAATCGGCTACAGTTGACAAATCTCTTTAATGGTATATGGAGGCACTTTCTCCGTATACTTTAGATAAGCGGGCTCTAGAAGAAGATAAAGCAATATAAACTTAAGGAATCGCTCAGTGTTTAAGCGCTGGCATTTGCATAACAAATGATGTCATATGCATGCTGCGCTCTGCATATTAATACGACTACTTTAAGCAAAGCCATTGCATGCATCCTGACAACATTAAAGTCCGTTAAGTGTCAAGACTTCCTTGACTCGGAGTCCCCTGTGCGCTCGAGCATGGGAGCAAAAACATGTCGTATGTAGTTAATTGTTACTAAAACATGCGAACCAAAACGACCATTGCGAGGTTTTGTCTAGTTCATAAGTTCTTGGGTATTCGTCTTCTGTATGG